CCCCAAAACCCCAAAACCCCAAAACCCCAAAACCCCAAAACCCCTAAACTTGCACTTCTTTTGAAAAATAAAATTATAAAATTTGAATAATTTTTACAGAAATGGCAAGCAAATACATCTCTTCAGTATGTATACTTATATAACCTATACAGTTCCCAGTCCCAAAAGGATTCGATGAAATCTTGCATGATTTCGCAAGAGAGATCCTAAGAGACCAGCCTCAGGACGTTCTGGACTTCGGTCATGAATATTTCAAAGCATTAGACGAAGGCCTTGACTTTAATTATGCTAAGAAAGGTAAAAACATCCCTCCTGAGGCTTCCAGGAGGGATCGCAAGGCTGTTAAGCCTCAAGAGACTCAAAATAGAGATGAAAATAAGGGTGATAAGAAGGGTGAAAAGACGGATGGAAAGACTGATGAAAAGACAGATGAGAAGAAGCACGAAAAGCAGGAAGTAAAGCAGGAAGTAAAGCAGGAAGTAAAGCAGGAAGTAAAGAAGGATGAAAAGGAGGATGTAAAGAAGGAAGAAAAGACAGATGAAAAGAAAAATGAAAAGAAGGAAGAACAGAAGGATGAAAAGAAGGATGAACAGAAGGATGAAAAGATAGACGAAAAGATAGATCAGAAGATAGATCAAAAGAAAGATGAAAACAAAGATGAAAAGAAAGTCGAAAAGAAAGACGAAAAGAAAGACGAAAAGAAAAATGAAAAGAAGGAAGAAAAGAAAAATGAAAAGAAGGAAGAAAAGAAGGAAGAAAAGATAGATGAAAAGAAAAATGAAAAGAATGATGTAAAGAAGGATGATAAGATAGATGAAAAGAAGGACGAACAGAAGGACAAAAAGAAAGATGAAAAGATAGATGAAAATAAAGCTGAAAATAAAGCTCCAGAGAAGACTCAGATTCCTCCTAAGGAAGAAGAGACCAAAGACGCTCCTTCAAAAGCAAATGACTCAAGAGTCTCATCAGGTAAAGCAATTGCCAACGAAGCCCAGAAATATGTCAGTGATATGATTGAGAAGCTAAGCCAAGATGATGAAGACGAGGAAGGTGATGAAAAGGATTCTAAAAAAGAACCTAAAGACTAATTACACAAATAACTAATAATTATCTTGGATATCCATGTACAGGAAAATAAACCCGTTGTCAAAACCCTTGGGCAGTAAGAGAGACTTTAGAATAGGTATATTTTGGGTGGCGCCTATCCTACTCAAGAAATTGTGAAGAAGAGGAAGTCGCTTACAGGTTCATAAATAAAGAAATCTTATTTCTCATAGAATATATGATTTTTGCTTACGATCAATTGATTAACTAAAAGAAGGGGTTTTGGGGTTTTGGGGTTTTGGGGTTTTGGGGTTTTGGGG